GTTGGACAAGCGCTCCAGCATTGATCCCTGGTGGGTTGAGCGCTCCAGCATCAACCCCTGTGATCCTAACCGATCACTGAGACTAGACGAATCAGCTCTCACAGGTGTACGCGATTCCTGTTGACTGTCTGTCTCCATACGATCTGTGTGATCGTCCATCTCCTGTACACCTGATCCGGGATCAATCGGTTCAGGTGTTGGTTCAGGAGTAGCTAGTCCAAAATCGTCCGATCGGTCTGTACGGATATCCGGGTACTTGCTGGCCTGGCTTGTACCCCGTACAGTGTCTGCTTGCTCACCCTCCTGATCACAGGGCAGGCCAGCCTCTGGATCACTTGGTGTAAGTAGCTCACCCCCAGGCTTTTGCCCGGCGGCCGATTGGCTTTGTTGGACTAGCTCTTGTTGATCCTCCAGTAAGGGTATATCAATATCCTGTCCTGGATCATCTAGTTCTCCATTGTGGAGTACGTCTACAAGCTTGATCGCTTGCTCCTTTGGCATTTCTTCCTCTTTCTTATTTTGATAGAAGCTTGTTTCGTCAAAGGATACGTTCCTAGTGATGATTACCTGGTCAACAGAGGGCACCCATATAACGTATATGTTTGATGCTCGATATCCAATCAAGTATCCAATGTGCCCACGCGGATTAACTTTAAATCCTCGTTTATCACGCCCTGCTGCGCGATCCTTGTCTAAGGGATACGCTCTGCAGCCATAAGCGTATATGCCACTCCAGTCTGGGCGAAGGTCTGCTGTCCGTTGTCTGATCAGAGCTGGTTCGTACCATCTAAAGTACTGATGAAACTAGTGATCAAGGACTTCATTTGGGGATCAGAAGCCATGTATTGCTGATGGACTCATACTATGAAGATATGCTGCCGCGTTCATGATCTTAGGCCACAACTTAGCCGGTAGGTTGGCGCTTGATCTTATCTTGATAGATTTCGTGATCAACTCCTGGCCAGCTCTTTCTGCTGATCCATTCGGCTCATGAGTGTATGGTGGTGGCGTGAGTATAGTGATCCCCTTCTCTTCTGCCCATTCTTCGTAGCGTGATCGTCCTCTCCAGGGACGTGTTGCAGTATCGTTATCCTGTTGGATCTCTACGATATGCAGTTGGTACTTTCTCCAAACTCTGGCTTCAAATCCTTCAATCACTCTCATAATCTCATCCAAAGATTTAGTATAGAGATTGTGATTGAAAAGCTTGCCTGAGTATTCCTCTTTGATGATCAATGCCCATTCTTCATGAAGCCTTCCTGAAGGCATATCGAATAAATCCCATGATATCTGATAAAAAGGTTTTGGCGATCTTTCCCTTGGTCTTCTAGAGATCACTTGGCTAGCGTGTGCTGTAGAGCAATCAGGACACTCTATTCGTTTTGTGCCTTTGATCTGAACGTTTTGTGCTGCTTGAGCGAGAGCTTGAAGCGCTCTTGGCCCAAGGTGTCCTGATCGTTTGTGCCAAAGGTCCTCTGAGTCTGCTCTAGATTGGGGAATTGATGATCTTGCCTCAGCTATCACATTTGTAGGATTTTGAAGATAAGATGAAACCTTGTTGTATTCGATGAAGGTAAGGTTATGAGCACAGTGAAGTTTGGCCATGATCACGTTGTCCTCTAGTGATCTATATCGAAGTGTGCTGTCCAATCCTAGGTACCAGAGGCCTGCCTTCTTGAGTTGAGCTTCAGATACGATGTTAAGATGGAAACCATCAACAACCTTAACGTTTCTAAGCAACAGGTCCTCTGATCTAGGTCCTTTGTTCCCGTTGAGTATTCCTTTAAGCAAGCGATCACCTGTTCCAGATACTAGAAGCGATTGAGTACCTGCTTCTACTGTCTCACAAGTAGATGATTCTTTGAACGTTCCAGGTACAAGCATTCTTCGATCATTGACCAAGTGTATTGCTCCGCCACC